CCCAGCACCACGCAAGCAAAAAGAAAAAAAGCGGGAAGTGGCGCTGTGGCTCAAGTGGTAGAGTGCTAGCCTTGAGCTGAAGAGCTGAGGGACAGTGCCCAGGCCCAGAGTTCAGGCCCCACGACTGGATCCAAAAAAGAAAAAGCTGGAAGTAGAGCTGAGGCTCAAGTGGTATAGCACTAGCCTTCAACAAAAAAAACCTAAAGGACAGTTCCCAGGCCTTGAGTTCAAACCCCAGTAACACACACACACACACACACACACACACACACAATGATTACTGCGTTGTGCCTTTCTGATGCTTGCATGTAGTTCTTATAGGTTGTAGATGGTGGTCATCTCTGTCTAATAGGAGCTTTCTGAGCAGGTCAGGAAAGCCTACTATAAACCAGCATCTAGTGTCTTGATTCTTGGAGAATGGTCATATCAATAAATATAAATCTACAGTGAGGACAGGTAAAGTGGCTGACAGTCACATTATTCATCAGTGGAGATCACAGGACTGAACTGAATGTCGTCACTTGCAGTTATGGTGACACATAAAAAGAGTCAAGGAATTTGGGGCCAGGGTTGCTGATGCAATTCCCTAGGGCAATAATCCAGTGGTAACTTTTGGAACAAATGTAGCCTTACTTTAACCTTTCATTGAAAAATCTCTACATATTTGTTTGTTTGTTTTATTGTGCCAGTACTGGGTACTGTTCCTTAGCTATTTTGCCCAAGGCTGGTGCTCAACCACTTGAGTCACAGCTCAAAAAGTCACTTCTGACTTTTTGGTGGTTGATTAGAGATAAGGGTCTAACGGATTTTCCTATCTGGGCTGGCTTTGAACCTTGATCCTCATATCTCAGCTTCCTGAGTAACTAAGAAACTAAGATCACAGGCTTGAGTAACCAGTGCTTTGAGGGGAAAAAAAATGCCACTTGAAAATACTAGTGGAATTGTTTCTTAGCTCTGGCTGACTGAGAAGCTGGCCTCCCTACAACCAGTTCCACTGGTTCTCCCAGCTGATGACAAAAGGGGTCCTAAGGGCAAATTCACACCACTGACATCCAAAGGAACAACTTTACCCAGCTCTTCAACTCACCCTTAAACAGGATCAGAATTTGGGAAAGTGTTTTTAGTGGATTCCAAGTAGACAAGCTTTGCTCTGGAGTTCCGTCTCCACCCAATCCTGAGTTTCTAAACCTTTTTCTAGTGAGCTGCTTCGATGCCCAGGAACCTGTGGCTGGTTTGTGGACTTGATGGAGGTGCAGAGAAAATTTGCACTTGACCTTGTGCTAACTCTGGCCAGAGGGAAGCAGTTAGTCCAAGAAGAAACCTCAGTTCCCTGGACTTTTCAAGGGTGAAAAATTAGAGTGTGAGGAATGGGCTGTAGGTTTGGTTGTTTGGTTTTAATACATATTTGAACATAAAATGTACCTGTATTAAAATTTGAGCTGAAGGTAAAGTTCCAATAAACTCTTAAATAAAATTTTGCCATGGGGCAAGAATAACAAAATTCAAGTTATTAGTAAATATTCAGGATTTTCCCCCCTACATTGATCCTCTCTTGTCATCTTATCCAAATCAGAATTTTCCTTTCCAGAACAATTGTGTGGGTAAAAGAACAGTTAATAGCAAGTAAATTTGCCCTAAAATTTTTTTGTTCAATTGACTTTTCTAGAGGGAAAATGAGAAGGCAAATATCCTTTAAAATAAATGTTTATGTAACTACATTACAGCTATATCTTATTTTATTTTGTTTCTATGTTTCTCCAACTGTCATGGCCAAGTACTTCTTGCATGCTAAGAAGTAGTTTTTATTTTGCTTTGCTTTTTTTCTCTGGTGTCAGTAATGAGACTTGAACTCAGGGCCTCTGGTGCTATCCTTTAGCTTTTTCACTAAAAAGCTGGTATTCTACCACTTGAACCACATCTTCACTCTGGCTTTTGGTGATTAATTGGAGTTTCTTGCATTTGTCTGTTCAGTCTGGCTTTTAACTAAGATCTTCAGATCTCAGCCTCCTAAATAACTAAAAAAACTAGCTGGTATGACCTCCCAGAAGTTCCTATTCCTACTTCTTAAAACAATTTCTGGCTGGGAATGTGGCTTAATGGTAGAGTGCGCTTGCCTAACAAGCATGAAGCCCTGGGTTTGATTTCTCAGTACCACATAAACAGTAAAAGCCCAGAGTGGCCCTGAGGCTCAAGTGGTAGAGTGCTAGCCTTGAGTAAAAGAATCTTAGGGACAGTACCCAGGCCCTGAGTTCAAGCCCCAGGAATGGCAAAAAAAAAATAGTTGTGGCAAACTTTTAAATATTTAAGTTTCTTAAAGATTTATATGATTAAAGAAGCAATATTATCTTAGAAAGCCTAAGAAAACAGAAAACAAGAAAAACAATTTCTTTAAATCCTGTCACTTGTATATTCTGACACCTCTGTATAGTAGTACCCTTATCTACAAAGAATGTATCATAAAACTGGTGAATGCCCAGATCCTAGATAGTACTGAACCTTGTGTATATGCTGATCATTCCTGTATGTCCTACAGTGTCCTACATGGCCTCAGAGTTCATCTGTTTTTCCATGTTATAGTCCAGGTGCTGCCTTCATATCACTATGCTTGTGCTTTGGAGTCATTATTTTGTTAAATAAGGGGCATTTGAATACAAGCAGCAGTACTACCAATCATTTGTCTGCTACCCAAAATGGCTAGTAAGTGATTAATGGGCAGGTACCATATACAAGTGGATTCACTGACAAAGGCATGGTCCCTTGATGATTCATGCCTGAGGTAGGATGGCTTGTGGCTACCTTAACAACTATGAATTATTTACTTCTAGAACTTTTCACTTGGTGTTTTTGGACTATGGCTGATCACAGGGGACTGAAACCATGGAAAGCAAAACCATAGACAAGGCTGGGGGGGGGAACTACTGTGTCTATAGGCTTTTTTAATATATATCTATTAATTTCTCCCCACAAGTCTGGCCTTTATGTACAATTTTATCTTCTCCATTTTCCTACTCGCAATTTGTTATAAACTTTCCCCAGGTCATTTAAACATTTCACAAATAATTATTTTAATTATCTAAGATGAAACAACAGTGATGTGGTATATAGTTGATTATCCAAGGCCTATTAGTGGTCATTTTTTTCCTCATTCTATTTTCTCAGTCATGTTCCATTGAACATTTTCATGTGTTAACTTCCATGAACTGTTAAATTATTTCTTTAAGATGAAGACTAACATGTGATACTGGAACAAAAATGATAGAACATTTAGAAAGGTTATATCAATTTAGAGTAATAACATTTTTATTTCTTTTTAGAAGTCTTACCTAATTCAGCAGGTAAAACAACCATCATTTCTAGTTTAAAATTTCTTAATTTAAGGACTGGACCTTTTTCATATTTATGGGCCATTTGTAAATTTCTTGTGTGAATTTTACCGTTAATATTTTTCACTCTTGTTTCTGTTGTTGCTTTATAAGAACTCTGAGCCAGGTGCTGGTGGCTCATGCTTATAATCCTAGCTACTCAGGCTGAGATCTGAAGATTGATGTTCAAAGCCAGCCCTGGCAGGAAAGTCCATGAGACTCATCTCCAATTAACCACCATAAAACCAAAAGTGGCACTGTGGCTCAAGTGATAAAGTGCTCATTTTGAGCTGAAGAGTTGAGGGACAGTGCCCAGGCCCAGAGTTCAAGCCCCATGACAGACAAAAAAAGAAAACAAAAAAGAACTCTGTATATTACAGCCATTAAAGAAACAATGGGATTTCCTCAGAAACATTAAAAATAAAATTCCTGTCTGAACCATCAATCCCACTAGAGGATATGGGTTCAGAGAAGGTGTATCTGAATATTGGAGATTTCTACTATCATATTCACTGTGATGTCATTCTCAATAGCTGAGATACAGAACCAACCTAAGTGTCCGTTGTGGGAGAAAGAATAAAGCATTTGTGGTGTATAGACACAAAGTAATTTTGATCAGAGGAAAGAATGAAATCTAGTCATTGGCAGAAACATGGAAATAAGCCCACAGGACAGAATGTTAAGTGCAGTCAGCTAGGTGTAGAAAGACACTGAAGCCATTGAAACAGGGAATGAGTGGCTGGTGGCTTCTAGGGCTGTGCATTTAGAGCGCCAAGGTTGGTAATACTGACTGAAGGACTCTACATATCGAACATTTATGTGCCTCTGGAAGAATAAGTTGAAGAGATCTATTGTACACTGTGATGATTCCAGTTAACAACAATAACAACTTGAAAAATGCTTACTGCATACACACACACAATAAGCAATGTGTTCAATAATGCATACATAAAATAGTTTGTTTTGGGCATTCTAAAATGTCAAGTCATTGTGTCATCCTCCATAAATAAGTACAACCTTTACTTGTGAATTGATAACAGATAGAAGCATTTATCAAAGTGTGCTCCTTTGTACAGCTCTGTATGGAAATACTCTGCCAACAGAGGGGGTTCCTTATATAAGTTTGAGATATTTTGTAAATAATATGCCATTATTATTATCCTCTGTGGCACAGTAGTGTCATGATAGGTAACCCTATTAATTTGTTTTGGAACTAATAAGTTCTATACTTTTTAAAATCTCAAATATCCTCCTATACTCTCTCTGTCTCTGTCTGTCTGTCTATCAGTCTCTCTCTCTCACACACACACACACTCAATTTTCCTGAACTGTATGTCCTGTCAGAGAACACTAGGCAGTGACCACAGATCAAGGAAAGTGTTTGCCAAGTGTCTGCTGGAAGGAGGGTTTGAATATCTGTCTGATCCCTTTGTTCTTTTCTGTCTCCTCCCTTTCGCAGAGTTCTAACCTATTCATCTAACCCCATGATGGCCGTGGATATAGAGTACAGATACAACAGCATGGCCCCTTCTCTGCGTCGCGAGCGCTTTGCATTCAAGGTATCCCCGAAGCTGAGCAAGCCCCTGAGGCCCTGCATTCAGCTAGCCAGCAGGACGGAAGCCGGTGGAATGGTGACCCCAACAGTCCCTGAGAAAAAGGTGAAAAAGCGGGTTTCCTTCGCAGACAACCAAGGGCTGGCCCTGACAATGGTCAAAGTGTTCTCAGAATTCGATGACCCATTAGATATTCCATTCAACATCACCGAGCTACTAGACAACCTGGTGAGTCTGACGACAGCAGAGAGCGAGAGCTTTGTTCTGGATTTTTCACAGCCCTCTGCAGATTACTTAGACTTTAGAAACCGTCTTCAGACCAATCATGTCTGCCTGGAAAACTGCGTGTTGAAAGACAAAGCCCTCGCAGGGACTGTGAAGGTTCAGAACCTGGCCTTCGAGAAGATTGTGAAAATCAGAATGACATTTGACACTTGGAAAAGCTTCACAGACTTTCCTTGTCAGTATGTGAAAGACACTTATGCCGGGTCCGACAGGGACACGTTCTCCTTTGACATCAGCCTCCCCGAGAAAATTCAGTCCTATGAGAGAATAGAGTTTGCTGTGTGTTATGAGTGTAATGGCCAGGCATATTGGGACAGCAACAGAGGCAAAAACTACAGGATCATCCGAGCAGAGCTAAAAGCCACTCAGGGAATGATGGAACCACAAAATGGACCGGATTTTGGAATAGCCTTTGACCAGTTTGGAAGCCCAAGGTGTTCCTATGGTCTATTTCCCGAGTGGCCTAGTTACTTAGGATATGAAAAGCTAGGGCCCTACTATTAGTGACTGCAGTTGGCAGGCAGTGACACTGATCATGGAACGGAGAAGCCAGGAGAAGCGCAAAGTTGAACTGCCCCTTAGGCACAGTTTTTGGAAAGAAAGGGTCCTGCACAGTTTTCTTCAGTCAGCGAGTCCAGCAGCTTTAGATCACAGAACTGATTGCTTGCTCAGAGGTTGTTTGCACTGGTCCATTTTGGCACCCAGGGTGGCCACAAAGGAACAAGCAGGATAGTTCCAGAAGGGTCTGGAGAGAAGCCATGCCTGTGGGCAGTGCTGTGGAAGCTAGAGGAGAGTTTGAGTTCTCTGCACTCCCAGGTGAAAAAGCAGCCCCTGGAAATTCTCTCAGTCCCCAGCCACCCCTGGGCTGGGGCTGGGGGTGTGGCGGAGCTGTTACCATTCACTTTGGTGTGTCCACCAGCAATTGTTTCTTCATTGTTGCTGCTATTCGGTAAACTTACCTCTATGTTGTGACCCAGTAGCCTGATATTACTCATCTCTAAAACAGCTTCTGAAGAGAGATGAGATCTGCTTCTTTTGGTCCAAGTTCCTTCTTTGTTGTTGTTCTGTATTTCATTTTCTTCCACGGTTCCTCTGATGTTCAGGAAAAGATAACAAAAGGCAAATACACAGCCTATGACTAAGAGAGGCTTTGGCTCTCACCTCTGACCCTAAATATATACCCCAGCAGAGAACCACACTTCAGTTGTTGGAAAGCCACTGGCTCCTGAGTGGTGTCAAAGATTGGAGAGCTCTGAGCAGGCAGGACAGTCAAGAGATTCAGCTTTCCTTTTGGCTTTGCAAGGAGCTCTCTAAGCACTCTCTGAGTCACCAGAAGGCTCAGTGACAAGATTGGTTTTCACTTGCTTGGCACATTTGCAAGCCTCATTCTTCTTTTACAAAAAAAAAAAAAAAGAGGAAAGGAACTGTAGCTCTTCTTTCTTGAAGAGTTGTCATCTATGTTAACATTTGCCCATCCAGTACACCCCTACCGCCTTTGGAACTTGCTTAGTTTCATTTTGCCTGTGATAGACAATATTTGGGACACTTTACAAACACCTGGAAGATGTCGATCTGGGTGTTTTTATTTATGGTGTGTATGCAAGATGATCGGGGAGAAAAGCCTCCTAAAGTTCCCATGTGTTATTTTAAATATTTGCCAACTCTGAAATGTCAGAGATGAATTGTTCTTCACCATATCGGACCTAAAATGTTTTGGTGAATGCCAGTATAACTCCTGGATAATTCATGGTTGGATGGGTCCCCAAAAACCTGTGATTTCTTTTTCTAGGCAAGATTGGTTTGTACTTAAGGGTGTTTGAAAAACATTTTCCATGTATATTTGTAGATTTTTTTTAAAAAATTATTTTTGTTGTTTTGTTTCGGGAGTTTGGCTAAGTGACTTTTTTTTTAATTCTCTTTTTTTTCTGGATCTTAGCAAAATAGTGTTTGCTAAGGCGTATGGGAAAAGGGTGAGTTTCCTGGAGTTGAAGGCACAGCTCTGAACTTGGCTGGCACAGAATCCCATGTTTGAATTTTTCCAGATAAATTAGAAAAGAGTGCCAGGTTTTTGTGGCTCTGTATATTAAAATCAGGCAAGTATTGAGTGCCTTGGCTTAGAGAATTTTATGGTTAGTTTTTCTTTTTTTTTTCTTCTAGTTTTGAACTTTAGAGTGTTTGAATTTTTTAAATGCTAAGTGGTATTCCATGTAATTCTTATTCCTAAAACTGGCTGTTATTTGTGTGCAATCCAGTGCTTTAAGGTTTTTGGTGCCTCTCCCAAGTAGGTAGTCCTCTAGGATTACATAATAATGTCATTTATGGGGAAATCACACTTGTATCTTTTACTGAATTGAGCAGGGTTGTGTCTTACCTGAGCATATCATACAGGAAGTATGCAGACAGACTTGAAATGCTACAGATTTGGTGATCAGAACTAAGAGTAGCATAATTCTAAATCAAATGAAAGCAAAACTGGCCAAGAGGTCCCCCCACCATGCTAGGAAGCAACAGGTACACTGTTACTTGCAGTTACCAGTCTAAGCATCATTCTATGTTCAGAGGAAAAGGTTTTCAAGTAACTTTGGTTTTATGTGATAACTGATCTTTAGACATTCCCTTGTCAACATTTGAAATATGGTAATTCAGTGACAGTATTGCTCCTAAAACAACCACAGATCCTACCTTCTAGTTCTTTTAGCATACCTGAGGTTTGTACTCTACTGCTCAGCTCCAAAGGCAAGTCTTTGGCCTGCGTGAAAGACTTCTTCCCGATAAAGTAGGCAATCAATATGTCCCATGCCTGGGGAATGTTAAACTCTCCCCTTAGTTCACCATCATGGGAAGACATACACTTAAGGGGACAGGCTCCTGAGTTGGGACTGAACTAATAGCCTGACCTGTCAATTGCCATCACACACCTCTTGATTATGGTGATGAATGGATCTCTTCCATCTTAGTGTCCTCCCCGGCTGCCCAGAAGGGCCAACCATCTGTCACTGTGCCATTAGCTAGAACAATATTGTCAGGCCCCTGGTCTACATATAGGGGACCAACTCCATTTTCCTTCCATATTTATTACCCAAAATGCCCTGCGGTGCTTTTGTAAACTGGGTGCAATAAATAAGTGAACTACATTAAAATATAATAAGCTTTATATTTCTTGGGAGATAAGCATATGAATGTTTTTAAGTTTTCTTGTTATAGGACAGCCAATGGGGGGGAAATGGAGCTCTGCATCAGTTGTAAAACTTTATTTTATCTCTAAGATTTCATTTCAATGCTGATAAATCATGAAACTTTTGTGTATGCCAGTACTGGAGCTTGAACCCAAGATCTGCGTTCAAGGCTGGCATTCTACCACTTGAGCCATACCTCCATTCCCAGGTTTTTGTTGGTTAATTGGAAATACAAATCTCATGGACTTTTCTGCCCAGGCTGGCTTCCAACTGCAATCCTCAGCCTCCTAGACAGCTAGAATTATAGTTGTGAGCCACCTCACCCAGCTAAAACATGACATATTTTTTAAATGTACATATTGAACTGCTTTATGGGGTTTTGATCTTTGTATGTCCCGATGTATTTTAACAATGAGCATGACATCATTTCGACATCAGACTTCCAATAGGTATTATGTGCTCTTCCTTTTAAATGTGGCCTTATGATCCTAATGACATCATTATGCCATTATTATGTAATCTTTCTCAATGGACAGTGAATGAAACCTTGGTTATCTTTCATTTGTTTCTGTTTTTAAATTTTCTTCAACTGGATGCTGGCTGGTGGCTCATTGTTCTGAAGGGATGTAGATCTAATGTGTCCTGACAGGATTGTTGAATTTGGAGACAAGAAATAAATGGATCTTACCGATAAATGGGATCTTATAGGATTTCCAAAAGACAATTTGGCAGCTTCACATAGTTTCCTGAAGCTGGGGGACAGAACATGCCAGGGATGGGCGGTTTCCCTGGTGATAGTAGGTAAGCATGACGGCCCATGTTGTGAAATTGTGAATCATAGGAGTTGTGTTGGTGGTTCCTAGAAAGCCTGGGAGAGGCAGCTGTGGGAAGACAAAGTCTCACTTTTATTACAGTGTGAACATACAACCCAGACTTGTCTTCAGTTTATACCTAAAAGTGCCTTGTCAAGAAATTTCTGCATGTTTATAAGAATTAAATATTTTTGTACACAAAGTTTAAGGAGAAATGCACTTTAAAAATCACAAGAATAGATATTTTGTGTGTGATATGAGAGTGGTTTGTATCTATCTCAAATGCAAAAATGTAATAAAGATAGAAACAAAATGGAAACTTCTATTCTTTTAAGAATTCTTGTTATTGTTTTGATGCTGGTTCTAAGGCTTGAACTCAGGGCCTAGGTGCTGTTCCTGAGCTTTAAAAAATGTTATCGGGCTGGGAAGGTGGCTCAGTGGTAGAGGGCTTGCCTTGTATGCCTGAGGCCCTGGGTTTGACTCCTCAGCACCACATAAGCAAAAAGAAAAAAGCCAGAAGTGGCGTTGTGGCTCAAGTGGCAGAGCGCTGGCCTTGAGCTGAAGAGCTGAGGGACAGCGCCCAGGCCCAGAGTTCAGGCCCCACGACCGGACCCCCCCCCCAAAAAAAATAAAAAATAAAAATAAAAATAAAAAAATAAAAAATGTTATCTTAGAGGTGACACACAGAGGGGCTGCAGTTACATAAGCCAGGTAAAAAGTACATTTCCTTTTGGACAATGTCACCCCTTCCCTCGCTCTCTCCCAGTTTTTCCCTCCCAGTCCCATCCACAAGTTGTATAGTTCATTTTCAACATAGTATCCAGTGAGTACCATTACTGCAAACTGTCCTATTCTTACCTCTAGAGGAAGGAGCAATATTTAAAACCAGTGTGTTTTCACATTCACCTTGGGTTTCCAAAGGTATATATCAGATAGCCAGAGTAAAGCAGTAGGACGAAGTAAAGGAGATCACTATGTTTTAAGCTGTCTGGACAGCAAGGGCTGGACACAGATTAGAGAATCATCATTTAAAAGGTTTCAGTCCAGCATTGTTCTGCAGCAGGTTGAAATCATCCAAGGTCAAGTCTCTACTCTCTCCCTTGCTTTTGAAGTATAGCACAGACAACTATATTAAGACCTGTATATATTCTGACATGTATGAGTAAAATATCAGCAACGTAGAACTGCTTCATCAATCTGTAACCAACAAAACCAGTCAGCTCCCCTATGTATTGGAGAGAAGACATTGACTCTAGGTAAGATTTTTTAAAATGGTTTACTTCAAAGTTCAGAAGAAATGATGGGGGAGTTGAGGCAGATGGTAAGGGACCCCAGGACACCTCACATCCTTCAGCCCTCTGACCCCTGGGAGTCTGTGATCGCTCTTCCACGAAGGGTAGAGTGTTTGAAAGTGAGCAGAAAGGGTAGGTGCAAACGTGAGTTTCTTACATTGTTATCTTTCTTGAAACTTTTTTTTTCTTTCTGAATTATTGAAGATCAAACCAAGGGCCTTATA